CTCGGAGTTCAAGCCCCAGTTACAGCATCCACACATACACACAAAGACAATCTACATGTCAAATCAGTGGAAAAGCATGTCAGAGGGTGACAATTCAAGCTAGGGAGCACAGTCAGATGGCAACAAAGTGTCAAGATACACAAGGCCTGGGGATGGAGCAGAGGCAGCCAAGTGGACATGTTATATGTCCAAGTGGGAGTAGGCCCAGAAGGTTGGAGAGGGGAGGAATCAGCGTCAGTGGGAGGTTAGAGATAGACAGACAATCCCACTGACTCTGAAAGGTAGGTGTCTGTGATAAGTTATGTCAGGTGCAAAGGCCCTGGGCCTGGGTGGCACCCGATATGTGGCTGCCTGGAGGCCCCGGTGAGAGGGTAAGGAGAAGGGAGGCCATATGGGGCAGGTCATACAAGCCATGACTAGTGAGAGACCCCAGGCACACGGGTGGGGGACAGATAGGTAGAGAGGTCTTGTCATGGTGAATGTGAGCTCCCATGGGATGTGGAGGTGGAAAAGTCGCTGTCAAAGTTCAGTCGTGGTGTTCAAGCGAGGACCAAGGCTTTGAGAAAACGGTGCTACCCTCACTAAGTTGAGATTAGAGCTGGGACCCAAAGCAGAGCAGAATCTAATGTCTGAAACTCAGCATGGCCTTGTTCAGAGGTGGAGAAAAACTCACTGCAGAGCCTGGAGAGCTGGCTAGGCTCCACCTTGGCTGTGAGGCCTCAGGCTCATGACTTACCCCCTCTGTGCACCACGGTCTGGCCTCCCGTCTTCTCAGCTTTGTAAAACAGGGACAGAACAGCAGCATTCACTTCCTAGGTAACTGACTAATAACTGCCAGGTGCCGCCAACTAGTGCTGGGATTGCTAAGTGTTCCTGAAATAGAACAAAGAGTAGGAGGTTGCCAGGTGTTCTGGAAGCAGGTGAAAATGTGTGTAGGGGAGGGAGGGAGCCATTGGCAGAGGCCACCAAGCTGTTACAGCAGACAGGCCTGAGGGAGCTGGGGCAAAGTGAACAAGGCCTGTGACTAGCAGGCAAAGAGTCTCATGGAGGGACTGGGAAGGTGGCTCAGTGGTAGAGCGCTTGCCTTGCAAGCATGAGGCCCTGCGTTCGATTCCTCAGCACCACATTAGCAAAAACGAAAAAAGCCAGAAGTGGCGCTGTGGCTCAAGTGGTAGAGTGCTAGCCTTGAGCTGAAGAGCTGAGGGACAGCGCCCAGGCCCAGAGTTTAGGCCCCACGACCGGACCCCCCCCCAAAAAAAAAGAGTTTCAAGGGAGCTGGGCACCAGTAGCTCATGCCTATAATCCCAGCTACTCAGGAGGCTGAGATCTGAGAATCGCAGTTCAAAGCCAGCCTTGGGCAGGAAAATCTGTGAGACTCTGATCTCCATTTAAGCACCAGAAAACTAGAAATGGTGCTGTGGCTTAAAGTGGTAGAGCACTAGCCTTGAGCAAAAGAGCTCAGGAGAGTGCCCAGGCCCTGAGTTCAAGCCCCACAATTGACAAAAGAAAAGCATAAGGGTGGAATCAAGCTGAATGGCTCATACTTGTAAATCCTAGCTACTCAGGAGGCTGAGATCTGACTGTCTTAGAAACCAGACCAAGCAGAAAAGGCTGTAAAACTCTTATCTACAATTAACTACCAAAAAGCCAGATGTGAAGCTGTGGCTCAAGTGGTAGAATGGGAGGTCCCAAGTTCAAATCCCCAAATTGGCAAACACACACACAAAAATCCAACACGAAGGTAAGATGTCATGATTGTACACTTTGTACAACCAAACATAATTACTTAATTACATAATCTTGGATTAGCCAGAAATAGAGTATCAGTAAGGCTTTCTTGGAGAAAACACAAACTGCAGGTCGGCAGTATAGCTTTCCTCTAAATGAATGCCCTTATGTTTGATGGCAGGGCCTCTTTGCACTGGCCCCAGGCCATTCAACAGCTTATAAAAGAGCCACTGTCTGAGGAAGGCTGAACTTTACAGCTGCACAGCCCTTCCTGCAATGGCCTAGACATTTCATACCACGGACTTGAAACCTGGTTTTCTTTTTCTTTTTATGTTCTTTTCTTTTCTTTTTCTTTTTTTTGGTCCAGTTGTGGGGCCTGAACTCTGGGCCTGGACGCTGTCCCTCAGCTCTTCCGCTCAAGGCTAGCGCTCTACCACTTGAGCCACAGCACCACTTCTGGTTTTTTCTTTTTTGCTTATGTGGTGCTGAGGAATCGAACCCAGGGCCTCATGCATGCAAGGCAAGCGCTCTACCACTGAGCCACCTTCCCAGCCCCTCTTTTTTCTTGTTCCTAGGTCTTGAATTCAGGGCCTGGGCACTGTCCCTGAGATTTTTTTGCTCAAGGCTAGTAGTCTACCACTGAGCCACAGCTCTACTTCTGGCTTTGTGTGTGTGTGTGTGTGTGGCGGGGGGGGGGGGGGGTTAATTGGTCAGATTTTCCTGCCCAGGCTGGCTTCGAACTGCGACCCTCAGATCCCAGCCTTCTGAGTAGCTAGTATTACAGGTGTGTGCCACTGATGCCTGGCTGACTCTTACTTCTAATAAACTACCCAAAAAAGCTAAAAGTGGAGCTCTGGTTCAAGTGGTAGTATTAAGTAAAAAAAACTAAGGGAGAGTGCTCAGGCCTGACTTAGAGCCCCAATACTGGTACTATATATATATATATATATATATATATATATATATACACACACACACACACACACACACCACATATATATGTATATATATATATTTTTTTTTTTATTTTTGGGTTAGTCATGGGGCCTGAACTCAGGGCCTGGGCACTGTCCCTGAGCTCTTCAGTTCAAGACTAGTGCTCTACCACTTGAGCCACAGCTCCACTTCTGGCTTTTTTTGGCTTATGTGGTACTAAGAAATCGAATCCAGAGCCTCATGTGTGCAAGGCAAGCACGCTACCACTGAGCCACCTTCCTAGCCCACAAAATAAATTTTAACAAGTTCAGGCCACAGTCCCAGTGGTTTTGGAGTCGATGGCTGCTTTGGACCACCAGGAATTAGTTACTGCAGAACAGCCTCCTGGCGGCCCCTCAGGACCTCATTTTCCTATTGGTAAATGGAGTCACTAGGGAAAGCTGGGACTCTCCAGGTGCAAGTCCTCCCCTCACCCCCCTCAAGTCAAGTGTTCTTCCTCAGACCAACAAGAGCAGCTCTAACTTTCCCCTCCTTCTTCACATTTCTGCCCAGATCACAGTTGGCACCAAGTCAAAGGGGTGGGGGTAAAGTCTCCCTGCTTGCCATCTGACCCTGAGCTGATTTTCTGGCAGTGCTGAAATAAATAACCCTCTGGGGGCATGTTTACAACTCTTCTGCTGATAAACAACGGAAGTGACAGGGCAGGGGCAGAGCCTTCCCAGAGGGCTGGAACAGCACCAGCTGGTGCCTTGCCTTGTCATCCCATACAGGGGCCCAAGGAGCCACCGCCTCTGGGACAAGAGGGGCTCCTAGATAAGGCGCCACAGAGATTCCTACCATACTTCTAGGAGAACAAGTGAGGGCTTTCAGGCTCTCCAAAATCAACCCAGCCAGCCAGCCAGCCAGCCACAAGTCTATTTATTTGTTGTGCCAGAACTGGGGCTTGAACTCAGGGTTTGGGCGCTGTCCCTTACCTTTTTCTGTGCAAGGTGACACGAGTCACACCTCCACTCTGGCTAATTGGAGATAAGAATCTCAAGGAGTTTTCTACTTTGGTCTGGCTTTGAATCATGGATCCTCAGATCTCAGCCTTCTGAGTAGCTAGGATTACAGGCGTGAGCCACCAGCACCAGGCTGGGTCCCCAGGAAAGTCAAGAGAATCAGTGAGACTTGTGAATAGTATGTAGTCAGGCCACCAGTGAGTCCCCAGATCCATGTCCTGTCATGGGGGTGGACAGGCTACAGAGTTCCTATGACTCACTTCCCAAGAATGAGGCAGGTCTTCTACACAGCAGAGGCCAAACACCCAGTAGAGAGAAACAAAGAAAGGCCAGCCTTGGGGGAGGGGAGGAGGGCAAAACTCTAGACCTTTATTTTCTCCATGTGTGCCAGTTAAGTCTGTGGTCCCGCTGTCTCTAGGGTGGGCTGTGAATTAATCGATAACTGTCCTGATGTCCCCAAGGTCACTGTCCTCTATATAAAGTAACATAAGGGACAAATGAAACTCTTAGGGACCCTGGTCTGAAGGCGGAGGCCGTGGAGGAAGGGTTCTATAAATAGGGTTGGGGGTCTGTGACCGCCCCCCCAGGTCTACACCAAGCCATCTGAGAGCGATCTCAGTCCCCAGCCCTCCCACCCCCCCAGCCAAACTTGTGTTTTTTTGTTTGTTTTTGTGCTTCAACTCAGGGCCTGGGCGCTGTCCTTGGGCTTTTGAGCTCAAGGCTAGCGATCTCCCACTTGAGCCACAGTCTGGCTTTGCGGGGTGAACTGGAAAGAAGAGTCTCATGGGCTTTCCTGCTCGGGCTGGCCTCGAACCTCGCTCTTCCCATCTCAGCCTCCTGAGAGCAGCTAGGTGTCAGCCACCACCAGCGGCCAGCTCAAACTCCTATTTTCCCAAAGGTCTTTTTTTTTTTTTTTTTTGGAGCGCGATTTTTGCTGCGATTTCCAGCCCTGGCCCTGGTTTCCCGCCCCCGAATAAAAAAAAAAAAAAAAAGAGGCTCTAGCACTGGGCCACGCTGCGGGCAACCGCCAGGATAACTGTCCGCAGCCACCAACGCGCCGCGGCGTACACGGCGTTCCCGTTCCTCCCCCGCCCCTCCCCCCGCTGGCGAGCATGCGCAATCGCTGACAACAACAAACCAGCAGGCCTGGCCCCGCCCCCTCCTCCTGTCACCCTGGCTTGCCATTGGCTGCCGCTGCCGCGCTGCCGCAGCTACGGCACTGCTGACCAATGGCAACGTATGTGGGCGTGGCAGAAGGCGGGCAGGCGAGGTGCACGGGCGCGCGTCCATTGGCCGGCTGGGTGAGGGGAGGAGCCGGTGGCTCCAGCCGCCGCGATGAATTTAGGCCGCTTAACCCGCCTGCTGAAGCCGGCGCTGTTGTGCGGAGCTCTAGCTGCGCCCGGTCTGGCTGGTACTATGGTGAGCACTGTCCGGCTGAGGGGCGGTTGGGGAGGGCGCGAGGCTCTCCGCCTGCGCAGCCGCAACAGCGCGTGGGTCCTTCGTCCATGGTGATCGAGGTCAAGGGGTCGATATCTCCCCCTCCCCCCCATTAGCCTGGCCGGGCCAGGCCCCGCGCGGACGCGGTGACCTGCCCTATTAGGCTCGCTCTCTGTGGCACTGAGGTTGGGACGGCGGGCTGGGACTAGGCGATTGTGGCCAGGATGGCCGGGCAAGGGTCAGGGCCCGGGTTGGAGAGGAAGGTCAGCTGGGGCGTGTGGCTTGAACCGGGAAGAGGATGAATGAGTGTTTCAGACCGTGGGCTGTGTAAGCACTGGCTCGGAATTGCGGGTCAACCAGGGCAAAGGGTCTGGGGTCGGTGTTTGGGACCAGTTCAGCCCGGAGTGGCGCCTTTCAGGCCGAGCTGGAAGGGTAGCGCGTGATCGCTAGGTGGACACACGCTGGGCCAGCAGAGTTGAGAATCGGGATCGCCCCTGGGCCCAGAAACCGCTGGAGCAACCCGGCCTGGTCCCCCCGGCCCCCGCCGGCTTCCCCGCCCTCCTCCGGCCCGGGGCGGTGCGTCACAATCGGCTGCGCGGCACCCTGGCTACCGGCCTTTTGTCTAGAAACTGCGTTTTGGTGGGCCCCAAACCCACGGGCATGGTCCGCCCCGCCGCGGGCTCTCCGAGCCGCGG